ATGCTTCTTTGTCTCTGGATCTATTTTGTTCCTGAGTCGATTCTGTTTATTAGATTCTACATATGAGTGAGATCATGGAAAACTGAATCAGGAAAAACCAGAAAACCTGAATAGGCCAATAACAACTGATGAAATCGAAGGAGTAATAAAAAATCTCCCAGCAAACAAAAGCCCTGGTCCGGATGGCTTCACAGGGGAGTTTTCGAATTCTTTAAGTTGTAGGGTTAGTTTACTAAAAATTTTTCTTGCTTTTTGAGTTAGGCCTGCAGTGCTATGAACTTCCCTCTTAGGACTGCTTCTGCTGTGTCCCATAGATTTTGGCGTGTCGTGTGTTCATTTTCATTTGTTTCTAGGAAGTTTTTGATTTTTCTTGATGTTATTGGTAACCCATTCATTGTTTAATGAATGTTTTTGAGTGTTTTTACTGTAGTTGATTTCTAATTTCATGTCTTTGTGTTCTGAGATGCTTGATATGATTTCAATCTTTTTGAACTTGTAGAGACTGGTTTTGTGTCCTAACATGTAGTTTGTCTTTGAGAATGACCCATGTGCACTTGAAAGGAATGTATATTCTGCAGCTTTGGGGTGAAATGTTCTGTAAATATCAATTAAGTCCATCTGATCTAGCGTGTCATTTAGAGTCACTGTTTCTGTGTTGACTTTTTGTCTGGAAGTTCTACCCAGTGAAGTCAGTGGGGTGTTAAAGTCCACGATTATGGCTGTATTGCTGTTGGTCTCTCCCTTAAAGTCTTTAAGGTTATTATTGATAGGTCCTTATTTATTGCCATTTTAATTCTTTATGCCTATGTTTCTCTATTTCTTATTATTATTACAGCAGTCCCTTTAACACTTCTTGCAATGCTTCTATTTCTACTTCTAATTACAGCAGTCCCTTTAACATTTCCTGCAATGCTGGTTTGGTAGTGATAAACTTTAGCCTTTTTTTGTCTGGGAAGCTCTTTGTTTCACCATCTATTTTGAATGATAGCCTTGCTGGATAGAGTAGTCTTGGTTTCAGATCCTTGTTTTGCATTACCTTGAATACTTCATGCCATTCCCTTCTGGCCTTCAGAGTTTCTGATGAGAAGTCAGCTGACAGCCTTATGAGGGCTCCTCTGTAGGTAATAGTTTTCTTTAGCTGCCCTTAATTTTCTCTTTGTCTTGAATTCCTCATATTTTAATTATGATGTGTCTGGGCTTGGGCCTCTTTGGATTCTTCTTGCTTGGGATTCTCTGTGCCTCCTGAATTTGTGTGACTTTTTCCTTGACCAGGTTAGGGAAGTTTTCTGCCATTATTTCTCCAAACAAGTTCTATAACCCTTGCTTACTTTCGACTTCCTCTGGCACCCCTATGATATGAATATTGTTACGTTTCATGTTATTCCACAGCTCCCTTAGACTGTCCTGTTTTTTAATTTTTTTTTTTAGATCTCTTATTGAGTGATTTTTTTCTACCCTGTTTTCTAATTCACTGATCAGATCCTCAGCTTCCTCTAATCTACTATTTATTCCTTTCAATGTATTCTTTATTTCTGCTATGTCATTCTTCATTTCCTTCACAGTTTCATATCTTTTTTGGTGCTGTGGAGTATCTTTACAATCAGTATTCTGAACTCTATGTCTGATAGATTATCTCCGTTTCATTTAGCTCTTTTTCTGGAGACTTCTCTTGTTCTTTCATTTGGGGTTTGTTTTTTGGTCTTCCCATTTTGGATGCCTATTTGGGTTTGTTTCTATATATTAGGTAGGCCTGCTAGGACTCTCAGTCTTTTTGGAAGGTCTCTGGTGCAGGCCAATGCCAGATGCTGTCTGTGACTGCCCTTGAGAACCCTGCTTGGAGCTATCAACATCCCTCAGCTTGGGGCTGGGTACATCTGGATAGGACCAAGATGCACACCAAAGTCTGCTTTTCCAAGGCCTGGGACCAGAAGCAGATCAGGCAAAGACTCAAAGCACCCTGAGGTCTGCCTCTGCCAGCAGGCTGATTAATCTGATTCTCTTAATGAGCCTCAGGCTGCAGAAACTCCACTGGGTAGGGTGAGAGGTTTTCCAGCAGGGTGGGGCAATTGCTCCCCCCTCAGGCAAAAGCTGCCTCTGCAGTATGGGGGAATGACTCGGCACAGGAAGCCAGAGGGGTGCCCTCTGAGCTCTAACTCCAGAGCCCACAACCTGAGATTCTTCTCTCACAGCTCCAGTCTACTCTGCTCTCCCTCTGCAGGATCCCAAGGTGAGTGGCTGCACATGAAACGTGCATTGGCCCTTTCAGAGGGTGCTGCATTTCCAGCCCTCTCCTTGGAAGACAGAAACCCCGCTGCTTTTCACAGCCAGATGTTATGTGGGCACGTTTCTCAGTTCTGGTGCTCTTGGCTGGGAAGCCCTGCCTGGGGTTTAGGCCCCAGAGTCCTCAGTGGGAACCCCCACAGCTGAGATCTCCCTCTGGACCTTCAGCTGCTGCCTGTGGGAGTCCAGCCAGCCCCCTTGCACCTCTGCACTTCCTACCAGTCTCTACGTGGTCTCCACTTTATGTCCTTGGTTAGGAGGGTGCTCTCCAGCTTGTCTTCAGTTGCAGTTGATTATTCAGGATGGTTTTTCTATATTTTAGCTGTAATTCCAGTTTGATCCCAAGAGAGTGTCAGTGTAGCTTCCGCTCAGTCCGCCACCAACTATAATCTCACTGCTGAATTCTTGAGAAAGGGGAGGCTGTGTCATCTGGCAGGGATCCTACCACTCAGTTTAGGAGTCGCCAAGTGAACCATATGGTAATTTAGTGGGTGTGCTGTACGCAATGTCATAGGTATAAAATTTGGTTACCAGGCAACAATTTCAGAAGAGATATCTCTTACCTTTTGTAAACAGTCAACGATGTGTGTGTGTGTGTGTGCCCTCTTTATGTGGAATCCCTAAAGTAAAGTGATTTTCTAGTCTTCAAGGGAGATGCCTGGTTTAGGAGCTGGTTTTATTTCAGATTCCTCACGGAATCATTTTATTCTCCTTGGAGTTCCCCTAGGGTAAGTGATCGGCAGTGTCTATCCATGGCCTGTAGCCACCAGGGACAGTGGACTCCTCCTGACACTCAGGAAGGGGCTGAGCTGCAGGGTTCTGTGTCTGCGCTGAGTCAGGGGTACCCACCCTGGGACCTGCTCTCTGCTCCCCTCCATGCACTCCAGGAGAGGCACCAGGCCAAGTCTCCCTGGACTCACCCACGTGATTGGCAGCCCCATTCTGCCTCTCGTTTTCATCCACCTGGCACTTCTTCTTAGCAATCTTGTGGAGAATTGAAGCCTTTTCTCTGAACCTCCCTGAAGCAAGAGAAAGTGGTGGGAAGGAAACAGGATCAGGAGGAAAATAAAGAGAGGCCTGTGGCAAATGGAGAAGCAGTGGCAAAGCAGGCTGGCAGCGTCCTTAGCTATCCTGCAAGAAAGCAGCGGCCACTCCTTTCTGTCCAATCCGACTGCCCTGCCGGAAGGGTTCTTTCTTACCTTGTGGGTTCTTCAGCTCACTTCTCTATTTGAGAGTCTCAAGCTGCCAGATCACAGATGAAAGGTCTGACTTGGATCTCTTCCCTCCCTCCCAATTGTTTACAAAAATAAAGGAAAGCACCAGTCATCACCAAAACTCCCCCCGCAGCTGAGATCCAAAACAAGTCCAAAGACACAGAGCGGCACTGGAGGCATAGCCACCTTTCTGGGATTAAACGCTCATCCCAGAACTGGCTTTCAACAATGGAAAGCCGTACACAGGGATCCTTTGATTTGACTCTGGTTTTCAAATATGTATCATAATGACCATTGCAGTATCTAAACACATCTGGAGCATGCATCAAAGTTTTCCAAAGTAGACAAGTCAGCTGCAATTAAAACACCAGGGAGGCAACTGATTCCATTTGGGGGGATTTGGGGCAAAGAATGACCAACTGGGCACAGCCAGTAATGTCTGTTTATGATGAGATGCTTAGAGGAAGATGCTGGAAAACACAGCAGTCTCAAAGTAATAATTTTAAACAGTTGTACCACAAGCATAATGCTTCATTTCTTTTCCAATATTGACATAATTAATGGGTAAGCGCATGCAACAAGCAGTGAGAAAAGCATGCAGAAGTGTAGAGCTTAGTGAACCATAAGACATTTTTCTTTCTTCATTAATCGCCCCCCTAAACATTCAAGGTACAAAGGAGCCTTATTTTAAACTGACTGATTAGTGCCTGATTCAGATATGACGTGTTCCTGATAACACCACAACCCCTCCGATTTCCCCACCAGAGATCTGTTTGCGGTTGGGTTCTCTAGCAGTGTATTAACAGGGGGTCTCATTCTATTTTTCCATTAGACCAAAACCCAACCAAACCCAAAATGTTTCTCTTGGAGAGTCTCTCCTAGGATGGGGCATGGCATGTTGGCAATCCCCCCCCCCACCATAGGGTGTGGTCATAGTGGTGACTTGTGTGACTGGTTGGGAGTGACAGAAGCTGTAAAGAAGACTGAGATCAGTTGCTTCCAATGGTGAAAGGGACACAGGACAGTGCCTTTTCTGCTCACAAGCTTCACTAGTCACAATCCTAGAGGCCTTGCTTCCATGATGTAAATGCCTCAGTCTCCGTAACGAGTGTGCTCCAGAGGGTGCCCTCTCGCAGGAAGTAGGAAGGACAACATTACATGGAGAAGAGAAGGTCCATGTGTGGCTTGGGCTTCATGAGAGAGGAGAAAGGAGGCTGAGGTGATGGGCATGATGCCCATCCTTGAGGGATGTTGAAGGTCAACATTAGGCTCACCTGCTGAAAAGTATTCTGAATTTAGCTGTTTCTATTTAATCTCCAAGGGAAATGCCGAGAAGAAAAAGGGAAACAAAAGAAAGTCTGGGGACTAGGAAAAGGAGGAGCAGAAAGGGAACAAGAAAGGAAAGAGAAAGGAAAGGAAAATAAAGAATTCAAAGAAGGGGGAGGCCAGCTGGGGGCTGTGACTGTGTGGAGGTTGCCCAGGAAGCATGGATGCAGGAACCTTTGCTGACTGAAGCCTAAAGGGGGACTTCTTATAGAGGAAAACTCCAAGAAGTCCTCAAATCATCTACTGAAAAGCCCAGAAGAGAAAAAAGGAAGTTCTAAAACTTTACAGGAGATGAAGCTTCTACTAATAAAACCATTCTGTGGTCTCAGGGTCATTCTTTGAACTTGGAACATTCAGCAGCATTATGAAATAAAAATGATCAATAATTGCTATTTTAAAATTATATATAACAACAACAATAAAGCCAAAAAGCATTCAAAAGAGGAAACAAGCCTGTAGAAATAAAACCTGAAATAACCCGATCCAAGTAATGCCCCAAAGTCATGAATCAGGGCAGAGAGAATATTTTATAGAAACCAGCCACTTGCATATTGCTCATGGTTGCAAGAACCTTTTCAGAGTTTAGACTTATATTAGAGAGAAATGGTGATAAAAGAGACCTGAAAGCATGGAAGGGGCTGGCCACTCCCTCTGCTAGGAAATGTCACCCCCAAATTCCCTAAAGGAGGGCTGGGAGAGTAGGGTAGGAAATGGTTGTAGAACTGGGATTTCGTAGGTTCCCAAATATCAGGTCATCGAGGGTTTCTAGTATTCCCACTATTCCTACTGCCCTCCATGCTACTGAAAGGTGGAGGGGGACCAGCCTGACTTGTCTCTCGGGTTTAATCATAGGGGTGCACCTGAGGCAAGCTGCAGGGGCTGCCTGGGGGGCCAACTTCACCCCCTTCTTCAGCTGCTTTCATTCAACCATTGTCCCAGTTAGCCTGGCCCACCCTCTCTGCTTTCTGAGCGCTGATGGTGGCTGCTTCACAGCCCAACAGCACTCTCCCCTAAAGAGCAGCTTCTAGAAAAGCAGCAGTTGAAGGTCCACCTTCAGAATCTAGCACACAGGTGTGCTCCCTGGGGAGGGGGGACAGAGCCTGACAAAGCAAGGCTCATTCCAGGCCAACAGACACCCCTGGGATGGCCACAGGGCACCTTCTGAGAGAAGCTGTGAGGAAGAGGCTAATGGACTAGAGCGAGCCTGAGGTCCCCGGAAGGAGCCATCACCGAACCTGTGATTGTCAAAGGGACCCCTGGGTAAGAAGGCACAGAGGCACCTTCAGGACCTGTTCAGAATTGACGCCACAAGCTGGGGAGATCACCAAGCAGGGTGTGTGTTGGGGACAGCACATTATTGTGATTGAACGGATAGGACTTAGAGGCAAGTTGGTCTGAGTTTAAGCCCGGCCTCTCTTTCTTGCTCCGCTGGGTGAGTTTTGGTAAGTTCCTGAATATTTCTAAGCTTCAGCTTTCCCGTTAAATTGGATTCTGATGGCATTGGCTCATGAGTCAAATGCACAGTTTAAGTGAGAAGATGTGTGTAAGGGGCTTATCACAATGCCTGGCATTGGAAGAAACCTGTAAATAAGAGGAAAAAGGGAAAACAAACTAACATAGCTCAGGGGCAAGGGTGACATGGCCTCGAGTCGCTCTAGGAGAACCGCTGACATCTTCCTCTTGCTCGGCCCACACCTGCAGGATTGCGGAATGAACCGCATCCGGCTCTGACAGCTCAATCAGCCCGGAGGCCTTGCTGGACTGGGGTTCAGTTGTCAGTGAGTCCTCCAAAGTCAGTTCCAAAACCGATTAGGAAAAGGACCACTTTCTATCTTCCCGAAATTGAGAAGGTCAAGTTGACAGAGCTGGCCTTCTGTGTTTTAAACACTGATACCTTCGCAAGCTTAAAAAGAAATGATGTGATCAGCTTTTCCCATCCCCCGTGAGGGCAGAGTACAGGGAAGAAACAACTTCAGGCGCACAATGGATTTGGGTCGGCTCAAAAAACTTCCTGATTTTTAACGTCCAGAGTTTTAACTCCTCTGTGTCTCAGGCTCTGAATTTTAAAATGGGGATCATAACAATACCCATCTCATACAGTTGTTGGAAGGCTCGAGGCGTTAATACACATCAGGGGTTTAGACAGCTGCTGACACAGTAAATGCTCAGGAATAATGTCAGAAAGGGTTATTATTGTGGAAGTGAATGACAGGTCATTCTTCCCATAAATTATTGAAAGTAAAAAGATTGACATTCAAAACTGAACTGAGGCTTAGCAGCCTCAGGTGCAGGAGAGCTAGGTGGTAAAGGGATTGCTTCGATAAACTATTTTAGGCACAGATTCCAAGTTGGCATCAAGGTTGATGCCAACACAGAGGGAGAGAGGAGAGATCTAAGGAACAGCTGTAGCTTTGTGCCCGGGCATAAAGAATCAAGACATTTCTGAGTACTTTTCAAAGTGAGTGAAGGAGTGATTTTTAAAAAACATGTTTTAAGGCAACCTTAAAAATATACTTTGTTTCAGTGTAAACCCTTAAAGTGTTGTATTTTTATCGAGCAACAGATATTTGTATACTTAAAATCTCAAAATAGCAAATTCTGTTTAAATCGTGAGGCACCTACGTCAAAGCCTAGTGGGCAATTTTAATACAGTCTACTTTGGTCTGCAGTTTGCAAAAGTACCAGCTGAGTGTCCCCAGGGGAGCTGTGCTGAAGGGGTGGCAGGAAAGTGCAGAAGCAGAGGATCCAAGCATAAGGAATTTTGAAAAACGAATTTTGAAAAACCACCAGGAATCAAAGCCTTTGACTCAATCACTCTGACGGGAAACAGAAGCCCCAAGCTGCGTTGCAAAATAAACTTTGGAGGGTCTGTTCACTCAAAGGCAATGCATTTTGCTTCTGTTCTGCTGTTAATTAATTAAATGGGCTCCTGGAAATTCCTTTACATCTTTCCCACCAAGCCTGGAATAGGCAGTGTTACAAAGGAAGCCTCTGGGCTGGCGATCAGATTAGCTCCTGGCTGGCACAGAACAATCTGAGCATCAGCGACACAGAGGAGATGGGACAAAGGGATCTATAGATGCAAAGGGGGCGCCCACACTCGCCTCGGTGAGCAGGCCTCAGTTTTGGAGAAGAAAAGAAAAAAATGAAACAGAAGGGGAAACTTGAAAATAGCGTATTTGAATCTATTTTTGTGTTTTCAGTTCTGCCTTTCCTGTCTGTCTGTAGTTTGAGGCTTGGCAGGTAGCTTAAAAAGCAAAAGTGCACCTGAACTTTCCTTATGTCTGTTCCTGGCTTTTTTTTTCTGGAAGCACAGACTCTAGTCAGGCAGACCTTCCATCATCAACCTGAGAAGCCATGCAACCAACAGTTGCCATGAGCAAACTGACCTCGGGGTCATCCTGGGCTCCTTCTCTCACACCCTGTATGCAATCAATCAGCAAGTCTGTTGCCTCTACTTTAAAAATATTTCTGAAGCT